AATCTAATTGACTGCCGTCTTCCTAGTATTCAAGTCTCAGTGCTCACAGTGACTAATGAGGGGGTCAGCTGAGGTGAAGGTTGAGCACCCACAGTCAGCCGTCTGTCTTATTCCTCCTCCTCCTTTGCCCCGTGAAGGCAAGTAGAAGCGTTCCTGGCAGCACACCCCTGCATGTCATTACTCCGGCTGCAGATAACAGGCACTTCATTAGGAAAAAGGCTTGTTAATGCTGAGCTTGTCGCTTACCCACCATGACTGTGTGCCAAATGCCCACTGGACTTCTGCGACTGAGGGTAGCTGACCTTTATGCAGCGAGACTGGGGGGTTGCATGGGTGCTCGCCGCTGTCACTTCAAGATTATTACTTTGTTGTATTATCACTAACCGATCTGACGTGCCTGTTTGAAAAATGGAACAGCAGGAACCCCTCAGTCTGCCTGGACACTATTACACATAGGGTTGACAAATTAATGGAAAAACCAATAATAACATACCTTAGTAAGAAAATTTTAAGTGTGCTGTGAAACTGATGCTCCAAGAGTCTGGATCTCTCCTGCAGGGATTACCACCATTCTCCCAAAATATATTTACTCATTTGATGTTTTAATGGCTCCACAATCTCCCCTATATGTTGACCCAATCAGTGACCACTGTGGCTGTGACCACTGCCTTCCTCTACAGATGATCACTTAGAATAACTTTATATTGATTTGCAGTGGCCCTGGAGCCAATCCATGCCACCAAAAATGCGTTTGGGGTTAGGGATAAACACGGTTTCCCAAGAGTTCAAAATTTAGAGTTTCAGTCCTTAAACAGACACACAAGTAAAGCAACAATGATCTAAATTACTAAAGCGTTTAGGCACCATTCCAAATCTTGGATTTATTACTGGATCCTAGAGCCAAGCTCAAGGAAACCACAGACAGCAAGAACCCAAACACATTAAAAAAAGCTTCTTTAACAGAAGAGTCAGACAGGACATCTGTTCTTTTGTTACATGGAAAGAGCAAGTTTGTTTAGTATTCAGCAGCAATCTCATGCATCTCCCTCCTCTCTTGCTCCCCGGTACCCTCTACACAGCACAGCTGCATTATCCTCCCACCACTCTCTCTAATTACAAAATAGAGGTGATTGCAAGAGAGAAAGAATGTCCTGAAATTTCTAATTAATTCTAATGAACCACTTCCTCGCTTTGACTGCAATTTTAATATAGCATTACAGGAGCCACAGCAGACTTACAAAAGGTTTTATTAATATAAACCTGTGGCAGAAAGAGTTTCAACACAGCCAGGGAAGCAGGTGTGACCCTGAGATCTCTGACGCCTGATCGTGTCGTGCCGCCCAGTTTGAAACTCTAGAAACTTCTAAAATCTAGAAATAATCAGAGGAGTAAGAACACGTCATTTCGAAAATTTGTTTAGTAGGAAAAATCGCATGTGGCCAAATGTGTGATACATATATTTAAAAATATTTAAATAACTCACAATTCATTGCTTCAGCCTTTCTCGGTGAATTTGCATAAAGATGCTGTTTCTTGATGGTGAGGAAAAAGTAGAGCTCAGCTTTAGCTTAACAGCCTCAGTCTTGTTTTGAAAATGCTGAATTTATCGATAATAAGACGTGGTTTAGGGAGCTGCTCCCTCTGGTTGCTTACTTAATGAATTTTTAAGGCCTTTGTCAGGCATTTTTAATATTCTGGCTTTTGGACAACTTTCAAAATGAACGCTGTTAAACAACTTTAAAATTTCAAGGTTGGTACTAGTCTGGATGCGTGTCAGGTTAATCTGTGATTCTAAACTGGCCACTGGTGTGAATGTGAGAATTTGAGCTTTGTAAGCTCTCTGGTAGACCGATAACCTGTCGAGGGTACTCTGCTTATTGCCTGATGAGAGGTGGGATAGGCTCCTAAATTTTAAAAGCAGTTAGGAAAGTGAATGGATAAAAGTAACCTCTCTTTGACTGTGTCCTGATCTCTCGCAGGCTTTCTAACCAATCTGATGGTCTGTTCTGATTAATACAATCTTTCTCACATCTTTAACTGAAAACAGCACAGTGGTTCTCCAAGATCCTAAAGATCTCCCAGTGTACAATGGGCACTTCCTCTTCAGATTAATCATTAAAACGGTCTCCATGTCACCAGATAAGCACTGACCATTAATAAAAGATTATATCACTTTATAGTGAGAGGAGTGGAAACACAAAAAAAGCCATTTAGTGTGTGTGTGTGTGTGTGTGTGTGTGTGTGTGTGCGCGCATTTGAGAAGTGTAACCTTAAAGATACTTTTTGGCGTGAGGTGATTTCTTTGGTTTCATAGGCAGATTGCTTTCTTTCGTCCCAGCAGATTGAGGGATTGCACTGGTTAATGTTTCAGACAGATTCCGACTC